TGAAAGATCATAATTGGTCTGCAGTTCTTCAAAATGTGCTGAAGTCTATAAATGAATTCAAGCAAGAATGAGCAGCAGTTTCTAATTAATTAGGTCGAGTCCTTAAGGATAATGACATTATTCTGAGTTACATCACCTTAGATATTAATTAGAATTTAAGATTTTCATAAGATTCTATACAAATGCTTCCGATCAATTGTAGTCTCAGTTTACGCAAAATCACTCAAGTTATCTGATGATAGTGCCAGCAAAATTAATCTGATTAATACACTATTTAAAAATTTAATACCCTAATCACCCAATCATTAAAAGGAAAAAACTCTTAGAAAGTAAAAAAAGTAGACATATAGCTCCGAAATATTTACCCTTTGGTCAGTTTTCTAACACAGAGGAGCAAACGGATGCATAACTCAAGTCACTCTCCTTGACCTAAATATGACAATCGACTAAGTCTAACGAGATTTCTTTTAGTAATTTTATCATCAAAGAGACACTGAAAATGTATGTAAACTTAATGAAGGCTTCCTACACGAATAATATTGATTCTACAGAGAACAGTCTTTTGAATGGGCTAACTTCAGTGGTACTTACAAGACTACCTAGTTTACCTACCTTCACAATATTTTTGTTACAAAAAAAAGCTTCGAGCAAAAACTCATTTTCACAGATTTACGAGATTCTGAAACATTAAGTGTTTTATCTGTATCTGATCAAGCGGCTAATAATGACTCTCTAAACTAAAATGTTAAAAATTTTTGCATGAGCATTTGTTAATACTTGCGCTACAAATGAGACACTAAATTGACTCAAGTATATTCAGAAATAAACAAATAAACAGTGTAGATGGTGTTATCTCAGACTGGCCTTAGTTGGGATAGCACTGGAGACCAGAGATCCATTTACTTATAACTCCCTTGTCGTCACTCTGATAACTTCCATGTACTCCTATATACTGTGTGCACCAAAAGTACCCTTTGACTTCATTTATTCAATAGACCTTAATATCAATAGTGTACATACAAATCTTCAACTACAAAAATCTAAACAGATTATACATTAAATTGCCCACAGTCTAACTATGAACAAAACATGGTTGACGGCATTAGTTCAGGATTGTTATGACCTTATCTATCCCTAATAAATTTAGTCTTAATTATTTCATTGAAAAAGCTTGGAGAGTATTTGATATGTTACGATCCTGGCGATGTACTTCAATTCTGACCAACACGACAAGTGATATTCTTCTAACCTTAAGAATTGTTCTTGCTATATTTTTTATTGATAAGTTACAAGCTGTGTTGGTTGAAATTAAATTCCCATACCAATGAACATAAAGTAATAGAATGGTTGGACTGTGTTAATGACTGAATATTGTAAATATATACCTTATGTGATGAAAGAACATTGTGACAACAGTTCAAACGGTTAGAAACAAATAAACCTTGATAGGAATAAAATGAGTAGAGTTCAGTTGATAAAATAAAATAAGATAGTTGGAATAAAACTCAATGGTGTAATAAATGCAATAAAGAGTTTAAGGGAAAAAAAAGAGAAAAAAAAATTAATAAGATATAACATAAGGTATATATTTACAATATTCAGTCTATTAAATTTATTTACACCCTTGCTATACTATATGAATATGTCTTTAATATAACTTCCAATCAAACTCTTTTATGTAAGTAATTTAAACCCATTAATTATGATTTTAAATATCACAGGTTGTAAGCAGCTGACGAGAACCAACGAAATAAAAATGAATTCATGCTATTCTGCTAGAATGTTTGTTCTTGCTCTTTTCAAAATGATAAAGGGAACTATGTGTATGTGTTAATGACGTTGATTTCCATAATAAAGTCAAAACCCTTGATATAAATCCATCCTAGTTTTTCGTAAACAAAATATCCTTTTTTCCATAGATTTGACATAAATCCGTTCTGATTGGAGGAATTTATTTATGGAAAAATCAATTTTACTCATTGATCGTAATTTTACGGTCAGATAAAGTAAAAAAGAAAACGCCTAGTTGTTTTAAATAGAACGATGTATTTATGTCTAAATGTACACTTACTATCGATCTAATATTTTTCTGTAGTCTAAAACTCTCGTAGTAAATTTTACTTTTATTTAAATAAAAGTATAGAAATATTAACCTCATGGATACCATAATACCGATTAGTCTTATCTTACTACGAATTCAAGATTAAGAACTATGATTTTAAGAAAACAGAATTTGAAATGACTTCGGAAACAAAACACTCAGAGTTTGGTTTATTATTTGGCTAAATTTTGGATATCTGATTCTTCAATTTTCAAAATAGATATGCCATTATGGAATACCGACTGGACTTATGAAATCCTCTAAGCCTAGGCCTTTTCATTTTTAATACTTTTCTCTGCAATTCATTTTGAAAATCTTGCACTCATCTAGATCCCTAAAGCCAGTGGAAGTCTATTGACTGTGTACAAGGACTACCTAACCAATGATTTTAATTTCTAAGTTTTGACAAAGTCAATGCTTTAAATCAAACTGTAATTAGAGTCGAGTACCATAAGTTATGTTTGTCCTCACTGCTACTCATTTTTACTTAGTCGCCTTAATGAAATGCTCCTAGCAACGTTTTCTCACCTGGACACTCACTCGTTAGCTAACAATATCCAAAGGGTACAATTCTGTTTGACAAAAATACTGCAAAAATGGAGAGTCGTTCAATCACCTTGAGAAAACATAATAATGTTTTGGGTGCATTTCTTTCTATCAAGATATGAAATGTTGTTCTTGGTATGATCTGAGTTAAAATCTAGTCTAAGTATACGGAATGAGGTAGTCCAGCGTGTTGACCACTATACGCATCTCAGAAATCTTATTACTTTTGATAATTTGGTGGCTCAAGAAATCTTAGCACTGATGCAAAAACTGGTGTGATGTTCCCCAACTTACACCACTTGTTACAAAAGCATGATACTCGTCCGTCCACCGAAGAGCACAGAGACTGAGTAGTAGTTCACTATTTTTAAATTTATAGCTCTTAAATATGATCAACGTAGATTTTCATCATAAGTCTCTTCGAGGATTGCCCGAGTGAGTAATCCACTTGGACAAGGAATCAAGTAAAAATGGCAATTCGGTTGTTGAGCTTAATCAAATGGGGTGATTGTAATACGTGTTAAAAATACCCAGGGATAAAACATTTTGAAGTGCTATGATCGCTGGTATATGAGTGAGTTGGAAGAAGTCTAAGGACACCAAAACAAAGATATAGTATCAACCAATGAAAACACTGATTATAGCTATGTAAAAGGCCGTAGATTTCCTGGTTAGGACCCGTATAATGGTCGTGATCTATCATTAGGAACTTCAGGTGAGAAAATCGACCCGATGCAACTACAGTCAATCTTCTTCTCACTGTATATTTCGACCTTAGCATCATTCCACACTGCTCATCCTCGACATTTATCCCTTTTAAGCTATAACTTCTATGTTTAGCTTCCCACTACAGAGAATATCTCGCTTACCTTGATTTCCTTTTTGTCTTGTCAATTTTTTTCATTATTTGTGCTTATGCAAACTGTTGTGACTTCAACTCATACATATTCAAGCCAGGTTTAACATTGTCTGTTTTCGGCCTTTTTGCCTATTTACATTTCTAAATTGATGCCGAGGTTGGAATATAAACCACCTGTAAATCTAATTACCTAAACCGATTAAACTAAATTCTATTATTTTCTCATGCTAATACTCATCTGATTTTTAATTAATATACTGAATAACATCTACAAGGCACATCAAAACGATTTAGAACATGAACAGATAGTGGACACTGCGCTTGGACTCAAAATGAACAACTATTTCATTCAGTTAGTATTAATTCGTAAAACAATTACCATGTAATTATTTGTTCCAATAAATAGTAATCTTAATTAAAACGAAATTAGTCCAAAATATTTTGATACAAGCTAAGTAAAGGAAAACTCCCTTATTGTTATCAATATGTTTGTATAAACGCACTGACGAAATGTATCACCAGCTGAACTGGGTTTTTTTCACTTTGTCAATACTCAATTATTTATTGTTGTATAATTTAGATCACTCAGCTGATAAAACAAGCGTTAGAGATAACTAAATATTTTCTTAATATTTCCTCGAAAAAAAATATAAGAGTGAGAATGTGACCATTCACCCAACCAACAGAATCATTGAAAGCTTGATTAAAAGCAAGAAGTTAACGCCCGTTCATTTTAAAAACAATATTTTTATTTATTATCTAAAATTCATATAATTCACATAATACAATTAAAATGAAATATAACTGTTTTCTAATTAAAACATGAAAATAATAAGAAATTGGTGAAACGATTACAGTTTTCTAGATACATAGAAGAATGTAGAAGAAAAAAAAACAATCAAATAATTTATGACAAAACACACACTAGTAACAGCGAAATTCAGTCTTTTTCTCACTTTCTACATAAAATGATATTAACGATAGACATAAGAGATGACAATAGGCTAATAACAAAGACTGACCATTTAAAAAACAAAACTGCTGAATTATATTATCAGCTACTTTTAAATCAAAGTATACTAAGATTAAAATAATCACAGATGGGTTCAAAAAGAATGATCATCCCATTGACTTAATTATCTTACCAAATAAATAATAATTTTCTATATGATAAGAAGAACGAATGAAAATTGAATGTCAATTCAAAGGAAGAAAAATTCCTTGCATAAAATGTCTTAATTTATTTTACTATCTACGCTTTTTATGGTAATGTTTACAAATCTGAAGGTATTGTGATAGAAAAGGAAAAAAAGAACATAAAAGAGGTGGTAAAACACAAATGATAGTAAAAAAAGAGACTAACTTTGGTATTATCATGTGTTTTTTTAATCTAATAACGTTTTCTTTGTGTATATGTGCACTTGAAAAACTACTCATAAATTATAGTAATAATAATTATTATTATTTTAAAAAATACTATAGGATTCAAGAGTTTCATGTGTATATTAATAATCTAATGAAGCTAAAAGTTAAGGCAGATAATGAGAATAAATAATAGAATGATTGTGGTTTAACTGCAGTTATTGAATTGCATAGATCTTCTGTGCAATGACAATAACGAATTCGTACATCATTGGTTCCAACACGATCAATACAACCCAGATTATCGATAACATTACTGCATTGACGTACTACACGTCTTTCATGTTCCACTAAAGGTAAAATATGTATATTACATAAAAATATGATCAATTAATTAGAATTTGTTCATGGATTACAAAGAAATAAAACAAAATACATCTTTCCTAGAAAATCAATCACTAGTTTATCCGGTATTATTTTTTTTGAGAAAAAAATGAAAGCAAATGCACTGAAAATCCACGAAATGACAATTCTTTCTATTCTGTTGTGCGACCGAATATCATTATTAGAACCAATATAATGGATTCTTTATCAAGCCATAAAATTAAGTAGTAATCTTCGAATTTGCAAGATTTTTTCTACAGGATGGGGTTGCTGACCCCATGCCCAACCCTCCTCTTCTACCCGGGCTTGGGACCGGCAGTAACTCTAGAAGAGCTACAGAAAGTAGACATGAGAAGGACGATTAGCAACTAGAAAGGATTGCCCAGGACAGGGTTGAGTGGAGAGTGCTGGTGGGCGGCCAACGCTCCTCCACGAAGGGTAACAGGCGTAAGTAATCTCCGAAGTATCTTCACTATTTTAAAGTTAAAATGTGATGCTAATATAACATAAACCACCATATTATCCAGTCGAAGTGCTTGAACACTATTATTATCAGAAATAATACACTTCAATCTGTGTAACTAGAAACTTCTACTATCATTTGTAGAAATAAATTACTATATAACTTAGTATGTGAACATGTAGAAATTTAATGTATCAAATTTACTTTGTTTTATAAAATGGGAGAAACATTGGTCACTTCAAGTTAACTTACAATAAAGCCTGTAATAAATTAACGTTTTCTTGATCTGACCTCTTATAAGCAGACATTAGATGAAATTTAATGCGTCCATGATGAAATCCATGAAACATGAGTACTGTCTGAAAAAAACTAGAGTCTTTTACCATCAATAAGTACTCAAGCAACACGATAGTTATTCGATAATTTGTGATTTCAAGTTTTGCAAAAATGTTCTTCGAGCAGTCAGCTTTTCAAATCAACCAATGAAGTGTGGATTCTAGAAAATCTTGAGATCAGCTTAGCAAAACTGTAACATCAGTAAAACCACAAAACCATGTCCATCCACCTACAGTCAGAGGCATTTGGTCACAATTACTCCTGCAGTTTTGCTTATGGTAATATAAAGAGGCCTCTTCGTCACTGTAGTCACCAAACAATCAATAGGTCACACAGATCCCTACCTTCTCACAACTCCGAACAGAACGCCGGAAAGTTAGACGAGTAGTCATAAGTACCGACCTGCATTTTTACTTAGCCTAAATAATTATATAAATAAAATAAAAGACCGAAAGCCACTACAATCTATTACCTTCAATATGTACAAAACCACGTCGAGAGGGAAAGCGAACTCTCCCCACCCTCATTAAAACGGAACCTTTGCAAGTCATCGGGTTTCTGAATAAAATAAACCCACCGTAACGAAACTTTGTTTCACAGTTGATGTTCCACTAACTTTAACTTCGCGGAAAATAAGTGCAGTTTTAATTCCAGGTAATTCATAATGAGAAAAATGTTTACGTACAAAAACCGGTTAAGAAACCCAATCAAGATTTCATGTGAAAATTATGGAAATCTAAATCAAACTAGGATTAGTTTAACAGGAGTAACTTCACTGAAAACTCAAAAATTAGTGGTTGATTTTCAAACATTCTCACTGGTTCGTAAAATACGCTTCAAAAAACTAAACGAAAAATACCGAAACTCAGTTTTCTTTAATAGTACTAAAATAGAGGGGACAATGAAGATATGATTATCGAGACAAATGTTTGCAAATTACGATAAATCATAACTAAACTACTTCTTGGTTAGCAAACAATCTCAAAATAATTCGCAACTTTTAACACGATGAAACTGTACTTCCGTTTTACTCAAAGATATGTAAAGCGGCCACATACGAATTTTACATAGTGTCTAACTTATTGCGGATCATTAATGTGACACAAAAGAACTAAAACAACTGCTGCATGGTACTCAACTTCCAATATTTCTGTTTGACTATCCGCAAAAACCTAATGATCTACATCACAAGTCACATAACTACAGTACACCGTATATTCAAACGAGATATCAATTGATCAACATTTCTTGGCATAAATTTAAATGTTTCGATTAGCCAAAAACTTCATGCAGGGATATTATTCCTAACTAGTTAATTTTCCACCACGTACTAAAAATCCCTTTACTGTCTGGTTGAAGGTTTATTAATTTGATTCTTCTGACGTTTAACAAAAAAGGCTGATTCTTGATATAATACCAAACTCAAATTTCGAAAAAATACTATGTAATCACAGCTGAGATAAGACTGGGCTAACTATGACAAATGTTGAATTTCATTCTCGAAGTTGTTTCATTGTTGTCATATGGGCTTACAATAAATCTTATTGTAAACAAACCCAAGCTTTTAGGTAACTTTTGAAGTCCAATAAAGCGGTTGGAAAGTATACATAAAGAAAATTAGTAATGTTCCTATCACATATTCGTCAATCCTCTTGCATTTAATGACCAAGAAATATAATACTAAAACTCAGATTTTTATCACGAACTGACCCCAGTTGGATGACTACTGTAAATTACAGATCAACTACCGACATACTACAAGTATTGATATTACGTTCCTATCATAGAGTAGTTCACTTACCAACTTGATCGATTTTACGACAGCTTATTGGTTTGGACGCATCAATTCCGGGATACTTTGAACAGTTTGTTATGAATGTAAACTGATCCCAAGGTTCACATAACTGGCCATCAAGATAGGAATTGCAGACCACGCACTGGATACCATAGACTGAAAAAGGAAACATCTATTACCTTGAACGTTTTATGTCATATCACAAATTACCATAAGTCAATAACTTGAAACTAAGTAATTGTACTGTAATAATATTGCATGTAATTAGTGACAAATGTTAAGTCTAGCAGGAAAATTTCAACTGACTTTCATCTAAACTGTAAACCAATAGGTTGTATGAGACCTCAAAACAGAGTTTATCCTGTAATAATACACTTTTATGTAAATGAGTAAAACAATAATAGGTTAATCTAGAAGTATGGGAGTTTAAAATTGATGACACTCAATCTTCGAAAAGTTCTTTTCCTCAAACTTATCATCGAATAAATTCCCCAGCATTATTATCCATTCCACCTAGATGAAAACACCTGGTTGTATGGAGGATGTGACCATATCGACAATAGTGACACTTAACCACCTAAAAGGTGACGGTAATTCAATCACCTAAGATTAGATGGGGTCTGGGAAAAGACCGTGATAATCAGTTGTTACTAGGTTACTCACTTCTAAACCGAAACTTACCTTTTGAAGAACAAGTATACGGGAATAGATCAAGATTGAAACACTGAATTATAAAATTTACTCTTATTGGTAAAATGTCTGGTAATGTAATTGTAAATGATTACGAATCTGAAGTGATTCTGTCCCAAAAAGAACTAACTAAAACCATTACATAGAAGTACTCTAAAGTTTGCATTTCGGATTTTAAGATTCACACACAAAAACGGTCAACTAGTCCTCTTTACATTTAATTTAAATCACTCACATATACGGATTTTTGCGCGGTACGTTTGAATCAACTTCAACCTGATATCAAGAACTTTTCATTAAATAGGGTATATTGTGTGGAGATACGAAAGATGCAGTCTTCAGAAAGTCACTTATACAAATCTTCAGCTAGTAAATCACTTGAAATCGCACGTGATGGAAGTCGTAACCTTTCACAGGAACTAGTTTATCGTCTATCTATTTTTTCAACAGTGACGAACAATCGTTTGTTATTCACAAAAAAACGAAAATTACTGATGAAGGTACTTATCTCAATCTAACATCAGCTTTTCTGAGAAAAACATACATCTCATAAAACACAATTTAGGTAAATTAAAATAATGCAGAAAACCAACAGTAATATACATGAACTATGATTATCCACTGATTACATAAGAATAATTTAAAATGGTGTCTTAACTAGAGTGTGCTAAGGTTCTAACAGGATATGAATTCCAAAGTAAAGTTCTGAGAAGTCCTCAGTTAACTGCAATTACGTCAATACCTCTTTCTTTTTCTAGTAGTTCTAGTACTATAGGTCTTAACAACTGTAATTTGTCGAACCCTGGAGTTTATGTTAAAATAATATCATATTTTTATTAACTAAACGAAATTTGCTTATTTCACGAAAGTTTCTAGCCTTATAATTCATCATATTTTACGGATTCACATTCAGAAAAAGTGTACAGCAATTACAGAAGGGACTGAAGTCCAAAAAATATTTACTGTATATTACTTTGAGAATACATTATGATGTAATTTCACGACAATTAAAGGTACAAAGCTAAAAATGTAATGTGGGAATCTCCGGAAATTAGTAGTATATTGACATGAATGGGTTTTATCTGAGTTATTTGTATATCGCGGCCATAACCCTTCATTTTGAAAAATTTAATCTAAGAAAATATGGAAGTCCGTTACGACCGAAAGAAAGCAGTACACTTAAATCAGTTTGTTATTAAGCCATGATAACTACAGCTGAAGCTTATTACAAAACTTATTGGTGTATTTGCCATAAAGCGATGTTTATTTTCACTTGTAAAACTACATCTAGGAAATAAAATACTAACCTGATTCCTGTTGTAAAACACATAAGAATACAACTATTACTCCCAATGGCAAATGGCTGACGAAATAGTGAGTCATTTCCACAGCATTAACTGCTGCTTGTAGCCAAATGAAATCCTGTATTCAGGGCAAGACTACGTCAAAAAAAACTTATTCCCAAAGGTTGTATGATCTTGTTAAAACTGACCAAACTGATGATTTGTCAATGGGATGAGTTTTACCACACTCCTACTTATTAACGAATCAGGTCCAAGGGAATAATAAGTGACCTTGAATGTCAGCCCAAAAATCTAATTAGACCTGAAATACGTAGGCCGGGATTTAATCGCACCACGGCAATTAGCGTCAAATCGTTTTTGTTAGCGAATCATGCTGGTAAAACCCAAAAATTTAAAGAAATATATCCATTTGGGGCTAAATATTGTGAATACAGTTACAACAGCAGACGGTCGTATCAGAAGATAGAACCAACGATTGAAGAAACAATATCACTTCAATTAGAATGATGAACTGAATCATCGAAATAAGGGTGAAAATGAACCATCATGACAGTATCCAAATCATATTAATATTTAAATATGCCTAGAATGCACGGTTGTAATGAAATGAAATCCGATACATAACAAAAGTCCTCCATGGTATGATTTATTTTAACAAATGACGATCACATTTATCAACAGTAATTAATAAATCCCCGAAGTGATCGATATTATAGTGTTTGGTTGAGTGGTCTGTAGACGTTAGTTCATCCTAAAGACATTTTTTGCAAACTGGCATCAGTTGGACGACTATCCTGTTGTATAAAGATGTCTGAGATCCTACTTCACAATATTGAACTTGAATTTTCTGAACGAGCCACAACTTAATTGTTGTTATTATTACCCATGTTTTACGATATTCCGAACAATAAATACAACTTTAATTCGTCATTACATGATGGATAACGTAGTAGTTGATTGATTTTAAATAGTACACACCGTGGTAAGCTAGTTAGGTAGTCTTGCACAAACTAATGATCTAAAGAATATTCAAAATCCATGTGGTAAGCCATCCACTTTGGACTGTAAAACCTTTCGGGTCTCAATACTAAGCAAAGAAGAGTTGTTTTTTTCGATTCTAGATACTTCTTGATGGGAAATGTCAACACAAATAGCCACTAATTATCAATCAGACTGTGAAAGAGCATCAAAAACCGAACTACTAAGTGGACTTGATATATGAGTGTACTTGCTTTAGTTAGTTGCAACATGGTAAGAGCCGAATGGGAATAAGAAAAACAAAAAACCTCGTTGTCAATAGAAAATGAAATATGAAAACTCAGTAGGTCGTGATTGATGTAACACTGTAAACTTGTGGCTTTCAGACCTACACACGGGTAATGCCTACTAGGTCAGTAGTGCGGTGGTTGATTGTTTAAGAAGTTCCACTTTCAACTGACAGGTCATGAGTTCGAACCATTCCCCCATTTCAGTTTTGGCACCAACATAGTCGGGTCGCTCTGTTCCCGAATTTCGTGCTACTTATCACTAGTAAGTAGTGTGTTTTCTATATGTATAAATCTGTACACGGTTAATCAATGCGTGTCAACTACTTTTGTTATGAGAAAGGAATAATTTATTCAACAAACATACTGCCTGTTATCACAGAAGGATGTAAAATATGGAAAAATCCTGCGGTAATTTTATGTAAACTCTTAATAATCAAGTTCTCTAAAAGATGAATCTGATGAATGGTAAAATCAGAAGTATACGATTATGATTTCCTACTATACGACCACCAAAATAATAATTTCTATGTCATTGGAGGAAAAACTATTCTTCTGGTCCAAATGTTGTGTAGTATGCGTAGTTGATTCTCACTGGCTAGATCTTATCCTGTTTGGTCGAACAGTTGTTTGCCTATTGCCCATGAACGGATTGTTGGACTGAAACAAGGAAATAAAGTGTCTTGCCTGATAAATATTTAAATGCATCCCATTGCAAGATGCTCTAATATCTACGTTATTTCAGTCAGTCTATGACTCTGTTGAATAAATCTCGGTTATATATGTGGTATATTCCAGCACTCATTAGAATCACACAAGATAAATTAATATAGGTTAAGGAAATTACTACATATGTGTATCTTTACTTCAAAAATGATTCATCTGCTGCTTCTGTATAGCGGATGTATGCCGTCTTTCGAGAACATGTTTCCGTTAGGCAATTATTTCCTAAAAAATCAAAAGATAAAATATTGCATACTATCAGTTCGCCTCCTCTTTGAACTCAGAATCATTGGTTTTCCATGGATGACGTATGGTGAGCACTGTTGTTTGGTTGCTAAAAGAGATAACATTGTTTACTTAATAAGTTCTACAATCAAACAACTCTTTTTATTAAATCGTATTTGATCTCATTAAACTCTACCCTAACCTGAGGGTCAACACCCTCTAAACTAGTTAAGGTCTCACATATGTGTGTGAAAACTTTAATAACAAGTAAAACAAAATTGATTAGTCCCATTTTACCTTTTGACCGTACCATGCGATTTTCGAACGTAGCCTGACATCTCTTAAGTTCATTGACAACTCACATCTAATTATTTTGTGATCTCGAGTTTCCCCTTGATGAGGTTTCTTTAAAGCAAATATGTTTTGTGTGAGAAAGCATTTAAGTAAACGTAATATACCCACTTAGATATAAAAATAAGAAAGATTAGTACAGAGAAAAGTTCTCTTTTCAGTTAATTTATTTTCAAAGCCATAAAATCGCAAACATATACTTATTTTTCAAAATGATAATAATTTCAATAACTGTGATAATAAAATTTCCCTAGATATGGTAACAATGAAATAAAATAAGTTAAAGTACAAAAACGTTTTTTTAACAAGGAAACTAGTAATGATGTTGGGAGCTTGAATATTCATCATGAAGATAAAGAAATCATGGTTTAAAATGGAAGGCTCAGAGCGATAAAACATGTTGAGGTTGAGAAGAACTGTAATTAGAAGGATCATGGAAATGGAACCAGATTAGATGGGTGTAAAAGGTCTATGGAGAATAAGATAGAAGGAAAGTAGATGACTGTTAGAGAAGAAAAAACTGCGGGAGATTAAGGCTTCGATAGAAGAAGAGGTTTTGCAAGTTTCTTTTGTATACATAATTCTGGTTTTTCTGAACGTATAGTAAGTGTTTCGACAATGTTTCGTATTGATTGTTGGTCTGTTGGTAATGGTCTCATACTTAATCCATCTAAATGTCAAGCTGTTAACTTTAGTATGAGACATGAACGGAATATAAACACTATTTTGAGATCCCATAGTGCTTGTATCATCGGAGACTCTTTGATAAACGCGGTGTCGAAGGTCAATTATCTTGGTGTCACCTTTTCCTCTGATCTGTCTTGGTCTTCCCACGTTTTATCGTTATCAAAGAAGGTTTTCCGTCTGACCTACTACATAAAGAGATTGCATGCTCTTGGAATTACTCGTCATTTTCTCTTACAATTTGTCAATTCTTGCATATTACCTATTATTCTTTACTTTTCTCCATTATTCTTTCCCGGACTTTTGAGAAAAGACTTTGCTGTATTGCGAAGAGTGCTAAAGGCAGTTAGTAAGACGTGTGGTGAATCTTTCGAGGTCATAATTAATATGGTTGTGGACAGACATTTAAAATCATGCAAACTCCTGGCAGGTGTTATTTTATCAGATACTAGCCATCCCCTTCACTCTTATCTTTCTCCTTGTATATCTTCTGGTAGAACGAGAAGTAATTACATTAAAATCCTTGCACGCAAGGAAAAGTATAAAAGTTCTATAATACCTTACCTAGCAAATATACTCTGTGACGAACAGGTTGTTAGAATTAACTTAGTCAATAACTTACATTCTTAACATGTCTTTAATTTTAAAAGTTTGTAGTTTCTTTTGGCTTTTTTTTTAAAATTTTTATTTTACATATTTCTTTATATATTCGCTACTGCCTTTTTTGTTCGTTGTTCAGTAAGTAACTTGTTGAAATACCCTGTGCTGAGAATTCTATATTGTACCAAAATATAATATTGAATAAAGCCATTAATAATAATAATAATAATAATAATAATAATAATAATAATAATAATAATAATAATAAGACAGAATGTAACTGCCTTTGACAGCTTTCTACTTTAGTTGTAGTGGTCATTCGATCAAAACGGACTCGCGGTCACAGTAAGTCCCCATTTGCAGACTGATGAAACTTGTTAGTGTGTATTGTGGCATCGAGTTGCGTTTGACTATGAACACTGCTACAAGAAGAGCGCGTACCAGAAAATCGGAAGGCGAATGAAGGTTGTATTATTATTATTTGAACACATGAATATTGGTACAAGAGAGCGCCAATATATATGCGCCACACAAAACAATGAGAATTCGAAGAGAATTAGAAAAAAACTAAGGAGCGCAAAAGAAAAAGAGAACAATGACGAAGAGATTGGAGTAAGGTAGTGTGGTAGTAACGAGGGAACGAAAAGGTACCAGATTTATTCTTTGGCGACCTAGTGGTATCGAAATTATACCGAGGTCGTGCCAAAGGAAATACAAGCGGAATCAATGGGCAAACGTGCGAGCGTACAAGGCCACAGTAAACGGAAGAATAATGAGGGAATAATGGACATCTTTAGTACAGTTAAACAAACAAGCACAGTAAAACAATCACTGGTACAATTGGTTATAATAATAATTGTTTCCATTAAACCAATTGCGTTCTCTTGATAAAAGTAGGTCACTACAAGTGAATCTACATCAATAACCCAATATATTCAAATAACTTTGTTCTATCCTTTCGACCAACATACTTGAACAGTCTACTTTCATCAATCACAAAGGTTTATGTTATCCCGTTGTTGATATTCAGAACAAAATTCGATGAGTCTATGCTAAGAAACACAGATCAAAACTCAGCTTTAAATGTCGACAACGTAATAACAAAAACTCTTAGGATTAGACATTATGGTCGTCAGTCATATCTATATGTATATAAGTGTTGATGCTCATAACTTAAATCCAGTAACTTCCACTTAAAACACAGGATTTGCTATCTATTGAGATACTAAGT